CTCTCCTTGCAGGAGAGCTACAAACCAGCTGCACCCACAATCAAATCCCAGAGTTCTCACTGCCCAAAGGCCCGTATGCTGCTCCCTCCCCAGCAGCTTCGGTCCTGGAGAGGGTGTCTGCGTGCTCTGTCCACTCTGCGATCCCGTGGGCTGTAGCCCTCCACGCTCCTCTGTCCTTGGAATTCTCCAGGCAGCAATACTGGAGTGGCTTGCCATTTCCTAATCCAGGGGGATCTTGATTGAACCCTCGTCTCCTGCATCGCCTGCATTCAGATTCTTTACCACTGTGCCACCTGGGAAGATGGTCTATTTCCAGCGTGAAATGAGAATATCTCCTGCCATATCAATAAACCAGAAATGCCATGGCCATCAGCAATGTCTGGCCTCCAAGTGTGAAGGAGGGTTTCCAAAACTTCAATCCACCAGAGGCCACCCCGCCCCCACGGTGATTGCTGAGGAGCTGGGGGAATGCAAGAAGTGAACAAGGAAACAGGATTAGCCCTAGAACAGCCAAGGTGATATGAAAGGAATTAATTCAAGGAGACCAGAGGCTTGCATCTTCCCATACATAGAGTGCTAAATTCCTTAACTTGTTAGCTGATCTTTGATGTTCTGACTTCCCCTTCTGCCTCCTAGGAGCAGTTTTCTCGGAGCTATTGAGATGCTGTCTCCTGGGCTAAACATTGCCACCAAATAAAATAACTCTCTACTTTTCAGGTTGTCAGCACTTGTGATTTCCCCACACCCTAGCTATGCTCTGGTCAACAGTCCCTCAATTAAATTACCCAATTTGAGTGTGCCAAGAAAACCAAGTCCCCGAAAACTGAGTTCCTCTACTGAGTTCATGACTCACCTCTCTATCTAAAATTCTAACCAACCCCTTTCTAGTGCAACACCTGTTCCTCTCAAGACTGGGGAGAAAAGGAGGGACTAGGACCCTGTGGCGCCTTCCCAAGCACAAGAGCTGTTCTTTGTTCCCCATTTCTTATTTTGGGGAACAAGGTTTCAGCCTCCCTGATCTTTCCAGAATTCCAAAGGGCAGATTCAAAGTTACTGATTAGAGGAGGTGGGAGGGCAGAAAGAAGGGAAAAGCAATCAGGAAACAGTAATGCAGTAGATGGCATGGTCCAGTTCCTCCTGGGGTATTTGCAAAGCAAACTGATACAGATCTCTGAGTTCTGCTTTGGGGTGGAGGGGCCCCCACCCAGGTGGAGGAAGGTGACTTCTAGCTGAGCACGAGCACAGTGACCCTAGCCTGGCTATAATCAGAAGGTTGATGATGGAGATTCCTGAATCACCACCTTGTAACCCCCCTCCCCTACCAACAATCAGAGGAAGGCCACAGGCTGCAGATCCCCCCCCCCCACCAAGTGACCTATAAAAACTATTCCCCTAAACCATTTGGGAGTTGGTGTTTCTTGAATGTGGGCCACCTGTTCTCTTTGCTTTGTCCTGCAATAAACCAATCTCCACTCCAAACTCTATCACGTTTCAGTTTGTTCGGCCTCACTGTGTCAGGCACAGGAACTTGAGTTTGACCACACATCCAGTTTTCTGCTGGGAGCCTCATCCCTACACACACCAAAATTCACTGCTCACTGAGAGCAACAAAAAAACATTTTATGCTGTGTATGTGTGTGTTAGTCGCTCAGTCATGTCTGATTCTTTGCAACCCCATGGACTGTAGCCTGCCAGGCTTCTCTATCCATGGAATATTCCAGGTAAGAATACTGGAGTGGGTAGCCATTCCCTTCTCCAGGGCTCAAACCCAGGTCTCCTGCATTGCAGGCGGATTCTTTACCATCTGAGCCAGCAGGGAAGCCCCATCTGTGGGGTCTGTATTCTGCAGTAAATGGATGCCATGATAAGATGCAGAGAAAAGTGCCCCCTTCAGAGATCCAGGAGCCCTTGCACAGACGACCGTTTCTGCAGTTTTGTGTCTCTTCCCTGATAACACAGTCGCGGGACTGAGCCAGTTCCCGTGCTACTTCCTTCTTGCTGTGATGCTGCCTACATCAGAGTGATGTAAGAGTCCAAGACCTCCTCTTCTAGCCTAACCACCGAGGATGAACATAATCTATGCTTATGGAAACCTGGAGCATCTGAGAGTTCTGACTCTCCTCCCATGTCCGAGAATTCAATTCTAAAGTCAAGGCTCCAGGGCGACAGACACATGATAAAAGAAATGTTCACATACTGAGCTATGGGGAGTCATTCTGGATTATACATGAATTAACTGGAATTTTAAGCAAACTAGGACAGCCTATCTGTGGCCAATCAGACGAAGATTGCACACTGCTTTAACTACTAAAGAGAAGGGCACACTGACGGGAAGTCAAGAGTGTCCTGTCGAAAAACAAAGATGCAGTCCCTCCCTCGCTGGGGACACCAGTGCTAATCCTCCTCTGATGCTAAGACTCCCTTCTCGAGCGCAGAGGCCATACTCACTCGCTGTGTGCCTGCCGATCTGTCCCTGACTCGTCTGATGTTCTTTGTTCTGACAAGTCATAAAACTGCTGAAAACTCTGCTTCTCCGGAGCAGCTCTTCAGAGTTATCTGAGAAGCTGTATCTCCTGGGTTATAGTCTTCAGTTTGTCTCAAATAAAACTCTTTCCCGTTTCTATTACAGATTGTTTATTGATTCTTCTCATCGACACACAGAAAGGTTTGTCTCTCTCCCCTTCACATTTTTGCGTTCCCTCCTTCATGTATTATTATATAATAATCATCCTGCAGCAGATTTTATCTTTTTTCCCCTAAATTCCACCTCAAAAATTTTCATAAAAGCAGATATCATCATGAACTTTTGGTAGGACTCTAAAATTCATGGAGGGTAATTTGTCTCAACATAACAAAACCTTGAAAATGTACTTGTCCTTCAACAAACTCCTTATTTGGGTACTTATTCTAAGACAATCTGTGGATCTGGGCTCTAAGGCATCTGTGCAAATATGTTTAACAGTTTTCAATTGGAAAAAAAAAAGGGAAACAACATAAAATGCCCTCCCATAGAAAACTGGTTAAATAAAGTGTGGAATATTGCACAGCCAATAAAAATAATGGTGTAAAGACTATTTGCTGATGTAGAAAGATGTTTTTGAAACATTGTTGAATTTTCAGAGCAGGTTTTTGTGTGCTGTGTGCATCTGTGATCCAGTTTCTGTAAACAAAATATATAAAGACAGCGGTATATAAAAATGTCCTCTGAGAAGACAGGACTATGTTTGGAACTCACGTAAGATCAACCAGTGGTTGTGGAAAGGAGGGCAATCCTTGTCCCTCCCCTCCACCCTGACTCACAGTCGGTTAGAGCAGAGAGGAGTCGAGAGCTGGGGCTTTGGGCTCCTGCATCTGTGGATTTAACTATACTAGGGGCAGGCGCATGTGCTCTTGCCACTGAATACAAGATGTGGAAACTGACCACCACATGCTTAGATAGTCTCTGTATTCCCATCATGCACCCAGCACTCTGCTAGGTCCTGAAACATAGTAGTGAATAAAATATAGCCATGCCCACACGGAGCTTGGGGTCTAGAGGGGGGGTCAGCACACTCCTCTGCCCAAGGGCCAGATTCAGCCTGCCACTTGCTTTTGTCAATAAAGTTTTATTGAAACACTGTCATATTCATTTGTGTACATATTATCTGTGACTATCTTCTCACTCCCCCTGGAGAAGGAAATGGAAACCCACTCTAGTATTCTTGCCTGGGAAATCCCCATGGACGGAGGAGCCTGGGGGGCTACAGTCCACTGGGTCGCAAAGAATCAGACACAACCGAGCGACTAAACAGCAACATTTTCTCACTCAAGGGCAGAGTTAAGTCGTTGTGACAGAGACTGAACAGCCTACAAAGCCAAAAATATTTACTCTCAGGAATCCGTTTATCCATCCTCAGAAGAGGGGTGCCGACCCCTGGCCTAGAAACTTGCTACTAAACTTGAGGTACCTGGGCTAGGTGCATCAGCAAAAATCTCAGTTCATCCAAGACTTTAAGAGCTGGAGTCTGCCTGTGAGCAATGCACCCACTATAATTAAAAATCACTAACTAGAGGGTCCAAGCCCCCATTACTCTGTTCCTGTTTTGCATATTTAAATGCTATGCACGCAGGGTTCACAAGTGAGAAAAAGACTCCTCAAGAGGTACCTTCAGGAGAATTGTCTTGCCAGAGCCAATCTCCCAGCATCAGTTCTTCCGAGGAGGCCATCCAAGTCCTGACTCTTCCACCCAACAGGGTCTGCTTCATTCAGTAAGAATGAATCCACATCATCAGCTCAGACTTACCTATCCTATATTAATTATAGGCACAGCATTGAGCTTAAACGAACCATTCGGCCACACAAGCGGCAATATTCAAGACATCAATTTTATGACACCGCTCAAGAAAATGCAGTGATACATCATCCCACCCCAAACACAAAGGTCAAATGATATTAATTAATGCGACGACACAATTCGCTGCAGCTAAATGGGTATTCTTGATTATGGCTCCTTGATTGAGAACTAATGCCTCATTAATCTTAAACATATCAACCGGAGGACATCGGCGAAGTCAAATAGAATAATGGCCAACATTTCAATGAACACAGCCTCATGCTCGCTGGGTAAGAAGCAAATCCTAGAGATGTGGTTGTATCTTCTGCCTCCTTCACCCACATGGATTTACTGAGAGCTTTGTAAAGAAATAGGCTTGAAACCAGTCTCTGAAACCTGTGTGTGTGTGTGTCTAGTCTCTCTCTCTCACACACACACAGCATTTTCAAATAGGCAGGCAGGCAGGCATTTTCTCTTGAGGTTTTTCACTTACATGTTACAGTAGGAAGAGAGAAATTGATGGGCTTACATGGCTCCAAGCCCAGCGAGTAACCTTCCCTCTGAGGTCCCTGTATCCATATACTTCAGCTTGTTTATCACAGGTAAGTGGTCAGGAGAAGGAGTCCAGGGTACAGAAGGTCTCTGGGTCAGTGTTGCAGGCATGGCACGCTCTGTATCCATTTCAGTTTAGGCAGGACAGTCCTCATCGGCCTGAGAATGTTTGGGGGCAGGAGAAAGGGGGATGGCAGCTCAAACCCAGAGCCCCGATGGAGCAGCCGTGTCCTCACCCTGACGCAGGTCAGCGGAGGCCTGCTGCCCTCTCTAGTCTCTACAGTGCCTTCTGACAGTGAGTTTTAGCTCTTCATTGAATTTCTAGAGAAATGACAGTGAAACCACCCCCCTCCCACCACCACCACACACACACACACACACATACACACACACACGTGCATGGAGAGCTCGGTGATTTACACTAATTGCAGGAAGGTCATTTGTAAAGCTTCAAGGTGGGGGTTGCTGTTCAAAGGAATTCAGGCTTCTCCGTTTTCATGGCACATGGTACTTAGCAATGGTGACGAAAGGGTTACCCATTAGTGATCTCACTTTAATGAATAGATAAAATTTGAGTCAATTACAGAAGTAGCTTTTGTCGAAGAGAGTTGCCTGAGCAATGTTAACCTTTTTTTTTCCCTCTCTGTCGCAAACCATGTTGCAGCTGCATCCTTTTCATATAAACAGAGCCTTCTAAAATACACGAAAACTCTTTGTTCTTTGAAGAAGGAAGTTATTCTCCTTGTATCTCTCTCTCTTTTCTTCTTACTTTTTAAAAGGGTTTTTAATGTTTTGTGTCAAGGTAAATTCAACCTGATCCCATTCCTAAAGATTGCAACTGGGTGGAGGATTTCTACAGTTCATCTGTCTGTATATTTAAGCTCAACACTTAACTCTTACTGTGCAGAATATACACTTTGTGGGCAACTTATTTTCCTTTTTTGAATCTCAGTAATTTTTGCTCTCCACTTGATTCATGCCAGCAGGTGTATGGTTGGCAATTCATGTTGACATGCGTTCAAATTTTAAAGGCTGTGACAATAATGATTCTTGCTTTTAAATGTTTTCCACATCTCAGATGCTGGAGTTTCACAAACATCATATCAAATTTCCCAAACCTGCCCCCAGATGGGAACTAGGGCTCCAAGAGGTTAAGAGCCTTATTTACCCAAATCAACAGTGTTGATTACTGGCAGGACTTTAACACTTTCCCTAACAGCTCAGACAACAATCTGGCCACAATGGGGGAGACCCAGGCTCAATCCCTGGGTCAGGAAGATCCCCTGGAGGAGGGCAGGGCAACCCAATCCAGTGTTCTTGCCTGGAGAATCCCGTGGACAGCAGAGTCTGGGGGGGCTACAGTCCGTGGGGTCACAAAGAGTCAGACAGAACTAACACTTTCACATTTCATCCAGGTCCTAAGGCACACTTACCTCTCAGACCACACTTCCCCACAGAAGTTACCAGAACAAGAAAGAAAAAAAGAAAACCCAGAAACTCCATAATACTTTCCCAAACCAAAGAGCATCACCTTTGAGAGGAGGAGAGAGGTGCATGTCATTTATATGCTCCTCCAAGGGAACTGAGCGCGGAACTCCCAACTCCTATTGGGCTGTTCTGCACATTCCTTATCAATAAATAATACTTCACAAAGGTCCCCAGAGATATTAATCCAAACAAACTAGAAGCTAATTACCATTTTCCAGCACGGCGCTGCAATGATGATCATTCTTTTGTTCCTTCCACACGCCGCCAGTCTGGAGCTCAGGGCTCTGCTTTCTGACTTGGAGCTGCGGATCCTCGGTGGCCAGGAGAGCGACACAGTCAGACCAGAGAGGTCTAGATGTGGGTCTGCCTCCTGGCCGTGAGGTCCTGAGCTAGCGCCTTGGCGACAGTGAGAAGTGTTGGCTGCCCGGTCGTGTCCGACTCTTTGCAACCCCATGGATGGTAGCCCGCCAGACTCCTCTGTCCATGCGATTTCCCAGGCAACAATACCAGAGAGGGGTGACATTCCCTCCTCCAGGGGATCTTCCTGATCCAGGGATCGAACCCGAGTCTCCTGCATGGCAGGCGTATTCTTTACTGTCTGAGCCACCAGGGGAGCCTCTGTAAGTCGGAGGTATTAAAATTAACTGTGAAACGTTGTTTCAGAGTCAATATAATAATCTTCGTTGGAAAAGACTCTGATGCTGGGAAAGATTGAGGGTAGGAGGAGAAGGGGGTGACAGAGGAAGAGGCGGTTGGATGACATCCTCGACTCGATGGGCAGGAGTTTGAACAAACTGGGAGAGAGTAAAGGACTGGGAAGCCTGGCGTGCTGCAGTCCATGAGGTTGCAAAGACACGACTGAGCGAATGAACAACAATTATACATTTTAGTGTAACCCTACCATCAGGTCTCAAATGGTTCAAGATCAGTAATGGGAAGGGGGTTCAAGAAAGCAAAGAATGCTTTCAAAATCAACTCACTTTCTTCTTTTTGTTTCATGAAAACCCTGATGGAAGGCACAACCTCAAACAGGACTTTTTTTTTTACCAGCGCCCCCACCACTCCCACTTCCCTCAGATATTACAACTATTTCCAGGCATTTCTCTCCCAAAAGCTGCAATCTGTGTGCTCTTAATCTCTTTCCTTCTGTTTCTGCAGCCTGGAAAACAAGTCTGGCTGAAGAAGCAACCTCCTGGGAGACCAAGGAAAGGGAAGACACAGACTAGGTCAAGCCAGAATCCCGTTACTGGGAGTAAGAAGCCTGGGGATCCTCAAATGTGATTAAGTTTGCTGAGAGCATAAACTGAAACACTCTGGCCAGTGCCCTGCCCGTGGTGTGTTATGGTCATGGATCAAGGTCAGCTGGCTGCCTTGAGTGAGGGCCAGTGGAAAGCTTCCCACAAGTTGGTCTGGGGGAAATTCACCAAGGAAGATACTCCACATTCTACCATCTTCCCGTGGGTTCAGCCCTGGCTCATCCTAGTTGGGGCTTCCCCACCTAGGTAAAGAATTGGCATGCCATTGCAGGAAATGCAGAAAATGTGAGTTCGATCCCTGGCCTGAGAAGATCCCCTGGAGGAGGAAATGGCAACCCACTCCAGTATTCTTGCCTGGGAAACCCCATGGACAGAGAAGCCTGGCGGGCTACAGCCCATGGGGTCGCAAAGGATGAGACACGACTGAGCATGCAGGCACGCACACATCCCAGTGACTCCACCTGTTCTAAAGCAGGGGTGCTGGGTATGTGTGTGTTGGGGGATCACCCTCCCTTCTTACGGTGTTCTGTTCTGTGGGTGCTAGCTCTGTATGGATGACTTAGTGTAGCGTCACTGTTGTGAAGGCACAAGTCAGTGAGTCGGGAGCAAGATGAGCACGTGAGGCCACTTTCCTCACAAGTGAGAACTTACACTCAGGAGAAGGAAATGGCAACCCACTCCAGTACTGTTGCCTGGAAAATCCCATGGACAGAGGATCCTGGCAGGCTACAGTCCATGGGGTTGCAAAGAGTCGGACACGACTGAGCGACTTCACTTCCACTTTCTTTCTGGAGGCCACTGCCTTCTAAGGGTGGGTGGTGGAAAAGACCAGAAATGAATGAGAACAGTCTTCTTGCCCACATTCCCCATTTTGCCGGCACCCACCGGAAGTCAGTGAACCTGCACTGAGCCAGGAGGCCAGGGTCTCACTTTCTCATCCCCACTCTCATCTCATGCAGCGACTAACTCTGAACAAACCTTTAATGCTGTCTCTCTTTTCTATGACGTTCGACATCCAGCATTTGTTAAGCATCGTTTAATGCTGAGTTCCTCATAATAGTCTCTCATTTCATAGGGAGAAAAGGCTTTAAGTTTTTGTCTTCCCTTTTAAAGAAAAGTAAAGCTCAGATAGGGTAAGTAACTCACCCAAGGTCACACAGCAGTTCGTGGCAGCGGTCAGAGGGATATTCTCTGTACTCTACTATGCCTTGCAGTAGAGTGCCCCCGGTACTCTATTACCCAGCAAAGAGGTACATTAGATAATTTCTAAGCCTCTGTGAGCTTTGACTATGCATCTGAGTTTTATCTAACACACTTGTGAGAAGACAGAGCAAGGAAATCTCTTTGGATCACTCAGACTGCAGAAGTACCGGGGCGGCACCGTGACAGGCACACCCCAGGATGGAAGCCCTGGCTTCTGATTTCTCCAGCTTACTTGCACTTGGGCAGATTTAGGGGTGCTCATAGTGTTGCAGTGAAAAAGGAAAAAAATAAGAGGAATGAGTTTTTTTCCTCCTTTCCTGAGAACAAAGAAGATAAAGAGAACAATGAGCAGGCCTGAACATTCCTAGTTTTTTAATTTCAATTGGCCCTGACTCTGCAAGTCTGTAACTAAGTTTGCTTTTCCACCCCCTCACTGCAGGAGCTACTTGTGCTAAGTCACCTCAGTTGTCTCCGACTCTGTGACCCTATGGACTGTAGCCCGCCAGACTTCTCTGTCCATGGGGATTCTCCAGGCAAGGATACTGGAGTGGGTTGCCGTGCTCTCCTCCAGGGGATCTTCCTGACCCAGGGATTGAACCAGCGTCTCTTATGCCCCCTGCATTGGCAGGCAGGTTCTTTACCACTAGCACCACCTGTACACTTCACACCTATTTTCCTTTGGCTCTATGCTAAATACATGCCCTATCTGCTGCTGACCCTTACAACACCCTTCCCCACGTAGTCACACATGAGAAAGAAGGCTGCAGAAACACGGAACTGCCAGACTCAGTTACTGGGTTACCGACGCCTGTGTATGACTGCCTTTGAAACAATGCAAGGGGAAGAAATCAAGGTCCTAGCACCTTTGTCCCTCATCACTGACTGCTGACTGTGAGCCCCCATCTTACACAAGGCGCTGGATCCCTCGCGGAGGGGGTGGGGGGCACACAGTTCTTGAGGCCTGAGCCTTCTGGGTTTCCCTCTCCACGGCTGAGAATTAAAGCCGCCTTTCTATTTCCTCCAAACTCCATCTCTGTATGTTTTACTTGGCTTCAGTGGGGCAGAGAAAACCAAGATTTTGGCCAACAACAAGAGGATGCCGGGCTGCCTGATCCACTGCACGCTCTCAGACATCTCAGTGCAGGGTTCCGCCTGGGCAGGGAGGGCAGGCAGGTCCAAAGGTGTGCAGTTCCGGAGTGTGGAGTGACTGGT